GTCCTGATCCATGTCTCAGGCTCCATGCTGATATTCAATTCATTATTATTAATAATAAAATAATGACTCAAAAATAAGAAAATCAAGAAGGCAGAACTGCACAGCAAAAACTGCAATAAAAAGTAAATTGGAAGAAAGAAAGTGGGTAGCTGAAAGGAAGGAAAGAAACACAGGATATGTACACATCATACATTCAAGAGAATAAAAAAAAATTCAAATAACCATCAATTTACAATATAAGGGCAGATTCAATTATAAGAACAGGAAGAGAGATGGAAAATATCCGGTAGCTTTCAAACCTTGCCCTTCTCGATGATAATATCACAGTGGAAGAGAAAGGGAAAATATCAGGTTTAGGATTAGGGAACGGAGAACTGATTCACATAAAATTTAAAAAAATGAAAAACACAAATCAAACTTGAAAATAACCTTTTGTGAGGCAGGAAAAACTTCCTCACCCCATTGTTATTCATCTCTGTCCAGGTTTCTGATTAAGACTAGAAGCAGAAAGCCCTAACATTTCCTGGTAGAAGTTGCTCTTGTGTATTTCCAGTATAGCTGGGACCAGGAAATCTTGAGAGAGCATGTTATTGTGAGATTTTTCAGATTTGCCAGATAATATGGATAATCAATCAAATGGTGGTGCTTTCTTAAACTAGACTGAATGGGCTTTTAAGGTTTGCTCATCACAGTAAGTTTATTATAAGGACATAATTACGTATGAAAATGATCAATAATCGAAGGAACTTGAATTCTATCAGTTTACTAGAGTTATATGGTCACTCATTATTAATAATTTAATTTCATTACAGTAGGTCCTGTGCTAAGTACATACAGACAGATAGTAAGAAACACTTGCTGCGCCAGACAGCTTACAATCCATGTAGACAAGACAGACAAAGGAAGGAACACTATCCCCATTTTACAGATGGAAAACTGGGACACAAGGAGGTTAAGTGATTTGCCAAAGTTTGCCCAGGAAGCCTGTGGCAAAGCACAGCCTAAATGTCTTGAGTCTCAGTCTAGTGCCTTAGCCACAAGCGCCATCCTTCCTTTTCAGCTTAGATTCTAGAAAAGAACAATATAGTATAGCTTCAAAGACCTAAGGATTAAGGATAAACACCAGCCTGCCAATAGTGACTGAGAAGTGATGCCTTAACTTCAGTGAATTTTGTCAAGTACTTTGATTGAGCGTGAGAATATGAGTCCAAATGACTATACAGGAAGAAATCATTTTTTCATGAAGAATATGTGCTTTATTGTGCACACACATTCTTCCTTCAAAAGACAGTAAATTACAGTATTTATGGAATCTTAATGATCTAAACACAGTTGGAGCCTGAAGGTCAAGGCTGCAAACTGCATCCTAAATTTCTGTTCACAGATGAAGTACAGTATTTATTGTGGCACTGCTTGTGCTGCCATAGTTAAAGGTCTGCCAGCGTTGCCATTATAAACCACTATTTCAGAGGGTTATAACTTGCCCATCAATCTTCGCACTGGGATGAAACACAGCACACAAGGTCTCAGCTGTGGGATTGATTTTTGTTGTTGTTGTTTTCTTTACCAAATTACAAAAAAGAAATTCATCTGGTGAGTTTTAAAGTTATGACAGCAATAAAATAAAGGTCACTCGTTTCAAATACTTTTTAGTGTTCCTATTGTATAACCCAGCTATAGCTTCAGCTTTAAGACAAACTTTGCAGGCCATTTATACATTATTACACCAGCACTTAATTCTTTAAATAAGGAATTCCCCCCCCCCCGAAATCGTTAAAAATACTGCAAATAAAGTTGCATCAGTGGATTAGCATTTCCCTCCCAAAAGGAAGCTATGGTGCATCTTGTTATTCTTAAAACAAACAAACAAACAAGCAAATCAGATTTCTAGTTGTACTGCCTGAGTCTCGTTTACACTAAGGGTACATCTAAAGCTGGAGTATCAATTTAAAATGCACGTACATGCTAGCTTTCACAGTACTAGTGTGCTACAAACAGTGCAGCCACGGTGGTGCAGGCTGGCTGCCCGAGTGTATACCTATGTTATCAGATGGGATTGTACATGGGTGGCTATCCCACACCACTATAGTTACACTGCTATTTTTAGCTCACTATCTCAATCAAAACTAGCTTGTGTATGTCTAACGAGCTGGAAATTACACTTAAAGCTGCAGTATAGGCATAAGTCTCCTTTACACTGCCCTGGCTACGTACGGGGGCTTGAAAGGACATGCACATGAAATTTACTATTTACTTAGTGTGAATGAGAATCGGGCCTGTTGTGTAAGACACCTCCCTTTAAAATGGTTTGACAAGAGTCTTCGTCAAATAGCATTGTTGGATTCCATGTTATTGTTTCTTAGTGGCCCTGGATCACATTTGCTTAGTTTCCAAGGTGTATCAAATGGGGGTCTGTCCTGGGTCCAGTACTAGTCAATATTTCCATCCGTGATCTGGATAATGGAGTAGAGATTATGCTTATAAAATCTGCAGATGACATGATGCTGGGAGGAGTTGCAAGCACTTTGGAGGACAGGATTAGAATTCAAAAAACCTTGACAAATTGGAGAACTGGTCTGAAATCAACAAAATGAAATTCAATAGAGACAAGTATGAAGTTCTACACTTAGGTAGGAAAAAAATCAAATGCCTACAAAATAGAGAATAACTGGCAAGGCAGTAGTACTGCAGAAAAGGACCTGGCGGTTATAATGGATCACAAATTGAATATAAATCAACAATGTGATGCAGTTGCAAAAAAGGCTAATATCATTCTGGGGTGTATTAATAGAAGTGTAATGTAAGACACGGAAAGTTATTGTTCCACACCAGTACCAAGTAGAGAGGTCTAAGTCAGAATACTGTGTCAGTTCTGCGTGCCGTACTTTCAGAAAGATGTGGACAAATTGGAGAGAGTCCAGAGGAGAGCAACAAAAATTACAAAAGTTTTAGAAAACCTGACCTATGAGGAAAGGTTAAAAACTGGGCATGTTTAACTTAGAGAAGAAAAGACTGATGGGGACCTGATAAGTCTTCAAATATGTTAAGGGCTATTATAAAGAGGATGGTGATCAATTCTTCTCCAGGGCCTTTGGAGGTAGGACAAGAAGCGATAGGCTTAACCTGCAGCAAGGGAGATTTAAGTTAGATATTAGAAAAAAAAACTTTTAATTATGCACCGCTATAGACTTCAAAGGGAGGTTGTGAATCACTGTAATTGGAGATTTTTAAGAACAAGTTGGACAAACACCTGTCAAGGATGGTCTAGGTATATCTAGTCCTGCCTCAGTGCAGGGGGCTGGACAAGATAAGCTCTTGAGGTCCCTTCCAGCTCTACATTTCTATGATTGTGTGATCTCCACCCTATTGTGAATTGCTCTCTACTTAGGAAGGCAGGAGTACTTCTTCGATCAATTTCTGTAGATTGGAGGATGGTGAAAAGTTAAATTTACATTTTACTTCCATACAGAGCAATTACATCTTATCAAGGAACAAAAGATGATAAACACTGCAAGGATATGAAAATAAGGAGAACACAATATGACCCAATGGAAGTGTTTCTCACTATCCAGAGTTTAGACATTTCCTATTTTTAAAAAATTAATAAAAAGTACACATTTATATTGGGACAGATGCACCAGAGTGCTCTTGTGATGCAAATACAGTCACCCATTTGAAGGCGTTTATAAAGCCAAGGATATGACTGCTTTGTGATGTCAGAGCAACTCAGAGCAGCCACTGAGTATGACTGAATATGGTCTACCAGTCGTTCTTTGGTGAACATCTTCCTTCATGCCACAAGCTCAACTACTGTGAGAATGACATTGATTGGTCCCACCACAAATTTTACTCTTCTGTTAATATCGCCTTCATTATAGCTATAGGACTGATTCATTTGCATTCTAGGCTCCCCCCACAATCTACTTTTCTTATATGGTTGCACCTATTTTATACCATCCTCAATGCTTGGAATAATCTCCCTCTTCTTAAGTACCAAGCTTTCGACTCTCCTCCAAATCCTCCCTGGAGGACCCAAACCAATGCTCATCTTGGAGCAATTAAAGGGAGGAAGACAGAAAAAGAAAAACATTTCCCATCTATTTCGTTTTGAGAAACCATAAAACAACATGATCACTACTGAGCAGGACTTAAATCCTAAACATTTGGGTCTGGAAAGTTGCTTAGAACTATTTTAAAATAGTATGATGGAAACAGTCAAATGGTTGCCTTTAACCAAACACATTTTTTTAAACTAACAAGGAGTACAAATTTCTCCAACTACCAAGTCAACTCTGGAAGCAGAAGTGAGGAAGGCTCATTCTTTCTTCTCTAGAAGATGAAAAGCGGACTGCTTGAGCCATTTAAAACTAGTCTGGACAAAGCACTTTAATATTCAATAGGGAACAATTCAGGCAAGGGGGAGATAAACTAAATGCCCCCGAAGCTCCAAAACGCTAGTTACTATGAGGGGGAAGTTATGGAACATGGCTGACTAAAGCCCTACCATTCAGACCAAGGTACTATCTTTGTCCTATTGAAAGTACCTAGACAAGGAAAGATAAATTAGCACACAAGTACAGATTTTATACATATCACTTTGCTTAATCTTCTGTAAATCAGTGTTTAAATTTTTTTGTAAAGTTTTTAATAAAACATTGAGAAGCATGTCAAATACCATTCGATTTCAAAATATTTTTTCTTTTGAAAGCTTACTGTACCATCTAACATAAATATCTGTCATGCTGCTTGAGTTCCTATAGCACAGAACATCTTGTTAGCAGTGATATCATGTCAGAAATGTTACAAAGATGCACTCTAATCACCTCCTGCACTGGTATGAATTTACATTTTTTGCTGTAAGGATTTTTTTTCTAATTTAGCTTTTATCTTGGATTCTCACTGAGACTTTTAAAAGAGGTATGACAGTTTTGAAAGCTAAGCAATGTGAGATTATTATTTTAGTTGGAATAAATGAATGGAGAACATACTGAACATCCTACCTGTAAAACCCTGGAGGAGCTTGTTGAACTAAGAAGTTTTGCTCCAGACCTTGGAGAACATCATTAAGCATTCTCACTCGGATAGGAGCTCTCTCCTTGGGGTCATTAGCTGGACGCATCTCATCTGACTGGAATAATTCTGCACTGTCCCTCAGTCTTGAAGCCATTGCCAGCAACTGACGAATGTCTAGTTGGTCACCTAGTAATGATAACAGAAAGATACAGGTCTGTAAATTATTCAAAAGGCAATAATTTATTGCTGTTGTCAATAAAATAACCTATACTTTTTAAAAATGGCCAAGTTGTCTTAGGCTGGAACAAAGGCATCCCTGATGGAGTTAAACCATGGGTCAATGGAGCCTATAATCTATTTCACATGTACAGTAATTTCTCCAGCAGTACCAACTTGTGCAGTGATATCTTAAAAATCTTACAAGCTAAGAAGAGTCAGATCTGGCCAGTATTTGGATGGGAACCCTGCAATGAAAACTTACTTCTGCAAGAAGTGATGGTTAAATATCAGTAGCTGGAAAGCTTCTTTCTGAGACAGTACGGATCCAGTGCTGTTAGATACTGCTTCTCATGCCACAGATTCTCTCTCTTCAATATGTATGTATTAGTCTACTGCATCTGAAAACCTATCCCTATAGTATAAAAGCACCAGCTCCTGCCCTTTCACCCTTTTCTCCCTCATAAAAAGCACAAAATCATACACACCAGAGCAAGAATTTACTTGAATTCCATCTCTCACCTTAGAATACTAAGCATACTGAAACTCTGTAGCCCATAAGGCTATCTTGCCTTTATTATATCCAGCAGTTATGCAAGAAACCTATAGGCCTGTATCCTGTAAGACATTAGCTTCAGCCATTAGCATAACGCTTGAGGCCTATAAACTTTGGCACAGATAAATGGCCCAACCTTAACCCCTAAGTCTGAGGAACAGAGTGCGAGGGGGAGTTTTGTCCATAATGACACCAGCCAATGACAGACACCTGAGCTAACACCACCTTTCGGAAAGTTTTGGAAAGAACATCCAACCACAAGAGTGCCATGGCAACAAATTGACATATATGATAACAAGTTGAGATCATGAATATACTAACCTATAGAAGGACATCCCAACATTAATAGGGTGAGGAAATACAAATAAGGAAGAGGAGAGAAACCCCTACTGGCACTAGACATGGTGGCATCAGTATAACATATTATGAAAGCTGTGTCCCAGGCTGTGTGTTGTAGGGGAGAAAGAGAGATGTGGCCCCTGAGAGGTGCCAGAATGATGGCCACTGGTGGTGATGATGAGGAAGATAATGGCTAACATTTTGGGTTGTTCTGCAGGGGATGGTGTGAGTGCAGATGTTCAGATGTACTTTCTGTATTATCTCTATGTACTGAATTAGAGTGTTTTTGACTTCGCTAAATGTATTGATAAATTATTATAACTATAGAAGTTTTCCTATAATGTGAGTGTTGCAGCTGTGCACATCAGGGTTCCCAATATATATAATAATTTTCATAATACTGGGCCTGATCTTGGGACAAGAACCTGTCAACCCTCAAAGTGATAACTGGGAATTCTTAAGTAATCAATAAATAAATATAATTAATAAACTATAGATTGGGCTACAACTTCTTAAAGGTTAATCACATTTGTAGAAGGGGTTTGAAATGATTCCTCTACAGTTAAACTGTAAGTAAATGCAGACGCTGTTAACACTTAAAGGGACATTTAAGTGTTATACTCCAATTACCTCAGTGTTTTCAAAATTATTAACACCACAGTGAAAGATAACCTGGCCTGATATTTGCAACCGACGGAGAAATTGAACAAATGAGAGCTTATACCAATGCACAGCCCAGATTCAGTTGACATTGTTCCTGATTTAACGAGAAGAGAGAAAAAAATGAGATGCATGAATTGGAGAAAGAAAAGGAGTACTTGTGGCACCTTAGAGACTAACCAAGGTGCCACAAGTACTCCTTTTCTTTTTGCGAATACAGACTAACACGGCTGTTCCTCTGAAACCTGTCATGAATTGGAGAGTCTCCTGAGTTGTGGAGTGTACTCCCACCTGCAGTGCTGGTGAAGAGTATGCTCTCCTCTTAGTGCGTGCACAGATCCCAGTAAGGGTTCACAGAATCAACAGTGTTCTGGTAAGAGCAAGATCTCCCTGGCCTATTAATGATGGGAAATGAAACTAGTGATCCAAAATGCATCATCATGGTGGAGAAGACCGCAGGTGGTGTAGCAGAGGTTGCCACATTTGCTGAAGTATCAATATGAATTTCAGCACAGGCAGAAGTCACTTTGAGGGGGGAAAGTGAGAGAGGGTGGGTTAGGGTCAGATTTGGTTTGGGATAAGATTTCTTTGGGACATAGGGGAAGGAGAGGTTGGGCTGCTTCTAACTGTTTTTAACTTGTTTGCTATTCCCTAATGAGGATGGATGATAGGCAGTGATCCTGTACCACTGTATTGACATAATTATGGATTAGAACTGTGAAGGTTAGTGACTGATTACATTAGGTTGACAACTCAGTCAAATATTATTTGAAGGTATAAAATGTAATCATAGGAAGCAGAAAATTTTTGGAAAAATATTACATGAAAAATTAATGCTCTTACTTATCAAAGCTTATCTTCTATTTTATCTTATTCTAGCTTATCTTCTATCAACACAGCATGGGGAGTAGGTGGCCAGCCCTCTGTGGAGAAAGAAGTGGTTAGGGACTATTTAGAAAAGCTGGACGTGCACAAGTCCATGGAGCCGGATGCGTTGCATCCGAGAGTGCTAAAGGAGTTGGCGGCTGTGATTGCAGAGCCATTGGCCATTATCTTTGAAAACTCATGGCGATCGGGGGAAGTCCCAGACGACTGGAAAAAGGCTAATGTAGTGCCAATCTTTAAAAAAGGGAAGAAGGAGGATCCTGGGAACTACAGGCCAGTCAGCCTCACCTCAGTCCCCGGAAAAATCATGGAGTCAATCCTGAAGGAATCAATCCTGAAGCACTTACACTAGAGGAAAGTGATCAGGAACAGTCAGCATGGATTCATCAAGGGAAGGTCATGCCTGACTAATCTAATCGCCTTCTGTGATGAGATTACTGGTTCAGTGGATGAAGGGAAAGCAGCGGATGTATTGTTTCTTGACTTCAGCAAAGCTTTTGACACGGTCTCCCTCAGTATTCTTGTCAGCAAGTTAAAGAAGTATGGGCTGGATGAATGCACTATAAGGTGGGTAGAAAGTTGGTTAGACTGTCGGGCTTAACGGGTAGTGATCAATGGCTCCATGTCTAGATGGCAGCCGGTATCAAGTGGAGTGCCCCAAGGGTCGGTCCTGGGGCCAGTTTTGTTCAATATCTTCCTAAATGATCTGGAGGATGGTGTGGATTGCACTCTCAGCAAATTTGCAGATGATACGAAACTAGGAGGAGTGGTTGATACGGTGGCAGGTAGGGATAGGATACAGAGGGACCTAGACAAATTGGAGGATTGGGCCAAAAGAAATCTGATGAGGTTCAACAAGGATAAGTGCAGGGTCCTGCACTTAGGATGGAAGAATTCAATGCACCACTACAGACGAGGGACCGAATGGCTAGGCAGCAGTTCTGCATAAAAGGACCTAGGGGTGACAGTGGACGAGAAGCTGGATATGAGTCAACAGTGTGCCCTTGTTGCCAAGAAGGCCAATGGCATTTTGGGGTGTATAAGTAGGGGCATAGCCAGCAGATCGAGGGACGTGATCGTTCCCCTCTATTCGACATTGGTGAGGCCTCATCTGGAGTACTGTGTCCAGTTTTGGGCCCCACACTACAAGAAGGATGTGGAAAAATTGGAGAGAGTCCAGCGCAGGGCAACAAAAATGATTAGGGGTCTGGAACACATGACTTATGAGGAGAGGCTGAGGGAACTGGGATTGTTTAGTCTGCAAAAGAGAAGAATGAGGGGGGATTTGATAGCTGCTTTCAACTACCTGAGAGGTGGTTCCAAAGAGGATGGTTCTAGACTATTCTCAGTGGTAGAAGATGACAGGACAAGGAGTAATGGTCTCAAGTTGCATTGGGGGAGGTTTAGGTTGGATATTAGGAAAAACTTTTTCACTAGGAGGGTGGTGAAACACTGGAATGCGTTACCTAGGGAGGTGGTAGAATCTCCTTCCTTAGAAGTTTTTAAGGTCAGGCTTGACAAAGCCCTGGCTGGGATGATTTAATTGGGGATGGGTCCTGCTTTTGAGCAGGGGGTTGGACTAGATGACCTCCTGAGGTCCCTTCCAACCCTGATATTCTATGATTCTATGATTGTGTTGGGTCCCAACAGTGCAGGTTTTAGGATAGGTTTCAGAGGAACAGCCGTGTTAGTCTGTATTCGCAAAAAGAAAAGGAGTACTTGTGGCACCTTAGAGATGCTAGATTTTGACTGATTCTAAATGGTTTGCCATACAGGCACACTTCATATGTCTCAAAGTACGTTAGACAATATTAACCATCCTAAAGAATCAAATGATAGTGCAGTCTTTTCATAAAACTGTGAAGTTTAATGTAAGATAAACAATAATCTAATCACAAAATCTATAAAGTAACAGAAGTTTAATCTTTATGCTACTATTTACCTTCATAAAATCTCTTACTTTACTCAGAACCCTTCTCTTTCTGTTAATAAGCAATCAGCAGCCAACTAGAACTTATTGGTATCGTAATGAAAAAGGAAAGAAATGTATGCTTTGATCTAGATTTACATGACGCTATCTCCTGCTGTTTTGAATGCAAAAGATGTGAGACAATTTGGTGCATTTGGTTTTTAGTGATTTCTTGAAACAGATTAACAGAATCACTGTGTTATTCCTCTATTTACAGACATCCAGTAAAATATCGTATTTTTTTCCCTTAGATCTGAACATTAAGTTTGGGTTTTTTGGATATCAACAAACTAACTCCATTTTTGGTGTGGATAAACGTATGCTTGAATCAGCTCAACAATCTCATTAGGGCCCAGTTATAGTGTGTAAGTATAAAATTGCACCCTGAGAAATCCACCTGACAGTTTAAAAATATCTACTGAGAGCAACAAAGTGAAAGACAAGGCAAATTTATGGTTAGAACTGGTTCCTTTTAATTTTGAAATATTTAGGTCTCTGCAGAATGTGTATGATAAGGCCTAGATTATGTCATTTAGAGCCACTTTAGGGGGAATTCTGGCAAAAAATCCCTTCTTGAGTTCCAAGCAGTGAATAGAGATGTTACACAATGTCCAGCTCTCCATCCTCGGCCAGCAGTGGTAGCCATGGCCCCTCCATCTTCATGCCTCCTTTTGGAGCACCCAGGAGAAGCAGTAAAAACACAAGCAAAAGAGGAATGATAAAAATCACCTACCCATATCAGCAAAAGTGCAAGGACCATATACGAGTAATGAAAGATATCGAACAATCCAATGGAAGCATCATGTCTAGCTAAGGATATCCTTACATAGTCTATGCATAATAGATGGACTATGAATGCATGATCCTTGCAGTCTTGCCAGCATGGAAAGGTTAAAATTCACTGCATTAGAAACATTTATTTAGTTTCATCAGCAATGTTTATATATCAAGCAGCATGCAATATTTAGCATTGTCATTCTTAATATAATACAAATGATTGTGCATATCAATCAAGCCTCTCCAACAGTGAGTGTGAGCTTAGGGGAATAGTTCATCATTCTATATCTGGAAATGAGGCCATGTAGACCACCCTTTTAACATAAAAACAAGGGAATGCTTACACTGGAATTTTTTGTTTTAAAACAATGTGATAAGTATTTTGCCCTCAAACCCACTACATTTCATATAAAATGATGAGCTATATATACTGTGTGCATCACACACTAAAACTGCACTCATTATATGAAACAAACAATTTATTTAATAGTCTCTTATAAAACCTTAAGTATTTATAGATATTGAACTCATAGGGAATTATAAGGGCATGAGAAATCATATTATCCTAAGATAGTGGACTTCACTGATGGGACAAAGTGTGATTTATGTTATGTATAAACACAGAGGCTGAAACTGGAAGGGCAGATGATTCAGAAGAAAAGGATGTGTTAACTAATATCATTTTAAACATCTTGTGACATCACCCTAGAGAAAAGAAAAAAAATTTCAAGTGTTATTTCACTTAAGGGAAAACAAGGGCACTTTATTATTCTACATTTTCTATTCTTTGTGCTGCACACTCCAGTATGAATCATGATGAATCATCTAGCTAGTTATTTAAAGTTGTTAAATAAATAAACATGCAGGTACCAGAAAGAGACTTGGGAGCCTGCACTCTGTTGATCACTGAATTATACAGCTGACTTTCATTACACATGGTGTATGTGGATTTTATTCAAAGAGAGGTGACAATGGATAGATATTTATTCTAGACAGCTGGATTGAGTGCAATAATGTTTCTCTTTAACCAACTGCCCTTATAAAAAGGTAGTGGTGGAGGTTTAAGTATTTAAAAATTACATTTCTGCCCTCTGACAGTAATACATTTCTTCAGGACCACTTGGAAGAGCATGACTGGTCACAAGCAAATCAACCAATTAGAAAAGCCCTTTTGACATGGATGTTTGTGAGAAACAACTGATTTGTTCTGTGACTGGCTAGAGTCTGCAGGACCAGTTAGGGTACATTACTATCTTGATGTTTAGAAGATTTTGCACATTTAGAAAATCTTCTAAAAGCATCTCTATAAGTCTTCTAAATATAAATCTTCTAAATGCTTTCTATATAGTCATCAGTAAACCTCAAAGAACTTTACATTATCCCCATTTCACAGATGGAAACCTGAGGCACAGAGGTGAAATGACTTGCCCAATGTCACCCAGCAGGCCAGTGGCAAAGCTAGTAGTCTCAGTCCAGTGGTCTTTCCACTAGACCACATGGTTGCTATGTGATTCCTCAGTGCCACTCCTCCTTCCTGTATATTTTGCTACAATGGAATGGGGATAATGGTCATGCTTGAAATGTTTACAGTGTGTGATTACTAACAGGGCTGGTGAGAGAAATCTCGTCCCTGCTCTATATCCCAAAACATTAACAGTTTTATTACATGGCTGCTATAGTAACAAAGTATGAAAGAAGACCTGTGTCTGTCTCTCCTTCTCCACCCTGCAACATGTAGCCCCCCACCACTTCCAGCTCCCCTTTCCATTCTCATCCCATTAAGCCATTAACTGGTACTACAGACACCATCAACACGAAAGAAGTTGTTCCATTCTGTCTCCTGCCCTATGCTGCTGCATACACACATCACAGGCTGCAGTTTACTGGAGGGCCGCACGCTACATTGGTTATATAGCCCAAGCTGCACACTGAGGTGGGCCTCTCACTCCCACTATCCCACCTCCATTTGCTGCTGTTTGCCCCAGGCTTCTCCAGCCATGGGTCAGGTCCACTCAGTCCATCTCCCCTCCAAACTGGGGTCCTCCCACAAACGCTGGCCAGCTCTCCCCACCACACAGGTCCTGTTGGGATCCAGGAAGAGGGCGGGTGGAAGCTCGCTTCGCGGCAGACCACCAGTTCGATCCCAAGATCCAACAACCACACAGGTGATAGGCATCTTAACTATTCATTGTCTGGATTTCAGATGTTGTTACCTCCTTTCCCCCGCTCATCCCAGATCCCAGCTTGCATGGAAGGACAGGGACAGGAGCTCATACTCTCCAAGAGGAGCAGGGTCTCCCACATCCCACAACACACAGTAGGCAGGGAGAGGGACTGTAGAGAGGTAGGACAACGTCAGATCCCAGCACAGACATGAGGGAGAATTCAGGGCTGATTTATGCACTCCTAACCCCCAAATTTCCTCTGCAACCCCTCACGTTCTCCAACCCCTCCCGTGTTCTCTCCTTTCACTGCCTCTAATCCCTACCTCTTTTCCTGACCACTCTTCTCTCCCTTACCACCCATTTGCATTTACCTCCCTCCCTTGTACCCCATCCCTAGCTGCAGACACAAACCCTTCTCCCCCATTCCCACCTTCTCTTGCATCCCTGCTCCCCTCTCCCCTCCCAGTGAGCATTCCCATGTGTTATTTTCTTTTCAAAAATAGTTTCAGCACCTTCTGAATATGCTGCTGTACTCAGATTACATTTCCCCCAAACAAAAATGTCCCTTTCATAGAGGCACTGGAACTATGCCTGCTTTTTTTACTTCAGATTTCTGCCCTGGGTTGAATTTCAACTCACAGGGCTGGATTCGTGCTCAGATTCAATGACCATAATGTAACCTCAATCACCCAGGTCATGCAATGTAGAGGTAGTTTTCCAGAGAGCTGTATCTTGGGAACCACTTGGTGAAATGGTCCCAAATTTGGATCACTAACAATCCTGTAGCCCCATGATGCACATCACATTTCAAGGCAATATGATTAACTATGTGGCTTTTACAGCACTTAGAAGAGTCCGTCTTTAAACAGAAAGCTGGTTTTAACCTGAACTATACCAGAACTGTCATTCTGCTACAATACCTTTACTAAGGGCAGAATGTCAGCAGATTGTATCTTTGTACGGCTTAAGGGAAGGTGATGGTGTCTCATGGCAAGGACGGATGTTTCTCAGCATCACGATCATGCCTCACGTGGCAAGTGCTTGCCATATTTGGCACATCTATGAGCACCAAAGGAGACAGCTTGGATGATGGGGAAGGGGAGCTGGAGGTGTCAAGAAAGGCCCGCTGACGGGCGTGGGCAAAGGTGGCAATTGCCTAGGGGCCCATATGATTTTAAAGGGCCCAGGGAAAAGTTCCCTGTAAGCTCTGTAGCATCGCAGCAGCCTATTTAGTGCCGCACAGGCACTCAGGGAACCCACCCAGGGCCTGGCCCCAAACCTGCTGTGGAACCCCTCTCCCGGCCCCAACTCTGCTGTGGCCTGGATCTTCTGTGGCCGGGGCAGCCCAGCCTGGACCCAGGCGTGGCCAGCCCCAGCCCGGACCTGCTGGGGCCATGGGGAAGGGTGCCTAGTCTGCAGCCCCAACCCTGGAGCTGCCGCAGCAGGGAGAGGCGCCTCTCTCCTCCAACCCAGGTGCTGCTGTGGGGCGAGAGAGCCGGGGGGAGTACTCTCTCCCCGCCGTAGCCTCAGAGCACACTCCTGCACCCAAACCCTTCATCCCCGGCCCCACCCCAGAGCCTGCACCCTGAGCCGGAGCCCTCATCCCCTTCACCCAACCCAGCCTGACCTTTGTAACTAAAGGTGCTCCGTCACAACCATTTGCCTCTAACACATAACCCTTTCCAGGGCCATGCACTCCAGTTCAATCCTTTGTGAATGCTCCAGGAAACCATCCTGCCACACTTTTGCCTTTGCAGCCCTCTGTTGGGATGAATTCACTAGTACCGGGAACATATCCTCTTCTCTCCCCACCTCAATTGGAGATATATCTGCCTCTCTATGGGTGATAATTCCCCTGTATGTGTAGGCCATGATGCAGCAAGTGCTGAGGGAAATCTCTACTTTCCCAGTACAGGAATTGTTTTTTTTCCCTTCCCTCAGCCTGTGATCCAAACACACAGACCAAGGTCATTCAGTTTCAAACACAGCGCCTTCAGGATCTAACTGATAAATCAACTCAAACAAATTATTCAACAGTATATTATCCTGCTTCCTACTGGCTGTGAAAACAGAGGCAAGTTGGAGTGATCTGCTGCCAATGTGAACTAGTGTAATAAATAAACAAGCAAGATGGCCACTTGTCAAATGGTGAAAGTTACAGAGCCTAAATGGCTGTGAAATTCAGAGTCCCCTTCCTGCTTGTACTGAATGTAGCATTAAATGGAAAGAAAATCTTGCAGCTCAGTCATGGAGGTTGCTTACCTTTGACAGTAATTATGAGATTTTAATACTAATTATTGATTAAACTGTTTTAGTAAGACCAGAAGAAATGTAAACAATTTATCCTATGTTAAACTAAAATCATGTTTCAGTCAACGTCATAGAAAGACTCTGTTTGAGTAACAAAATCAGCAGGTATTGTTTACTCTGAAACTGAGAATCTCAGTATTGAAATGTAGGTGACCCTTTTTTCATGTTAGCTGAGATTAGTCTTGCTCGAACAAAATTACCTTTAAGCCTGTTCTGAACTTCTAATGCGATGTCCAGGGCATTAAAGGGCAGAACTGGTTCACTGGCAATTTGCAAAGTCACCTCTCCCGTTAGCTGAAAGAAATCAAAAGAGATTAAATAATTTCTAACCCATTTAATACTCAGCATTTCATTTGGAATACCAGATAACTTCATTATATTGGTCTGCCAGGGAAGCTGAATAAAACACACAGCTTTTTAAGGACAAACTGAAAACACACACACACAACACCCATCATTAACCAAATAATTCTAGTACAAAAATGTATAAAGAGATTATAATTTATGACCACTTCTGTTCAGTGCTTTCCTATGGCACAGGATACTATTGGAGATTTTTTTTAAGAAAAAATATCTTCTTGTATTTCTAAAAGTGGGAAGCAAATTTAAAATGTTCTTCTTTTTTTTTTTTAAACAGCAGACAGATGAACTACTAAGACACGAAGGGCTGGATCCAAAACCCAATGAGGTCAAAGGGAATTTTTTCCACAGACTTTAACAGGCTTTGGAGCAGACTCTTAGCACAGAATCACATTAATACAAAGAAACTGAGCTGAGTACTCACAGCGTCTAGGGAATATATGATGGCTTGACATGAATAACAGCTTAAAGAAGGTTTCAGAGTAGCAGCCGTGTTAGTCTGTATTCGCAAAAAGAAAAGGAGTACTTGTGGCACCTTAGAGACTAACAAATTTATTTGAGCATAAGCTTTCGTGAGCTACAGCTCACTTCATCAGATGCATTCAGTGGAAAATACAGTGGGAAGATTTATATAAATTTACATAAAGATTTATATAAAATTTTTTCAATGCACATATTCAGATAGGAAAGTTTTTGAGTAAAAAGCATCGGGAAATGCTGCTTTTTGTGAAATATCACAGAGGTGCTGTGGAATAGAAGTAGCACAAGAGAGGAAATTCCCAAATACAACAGAAATCTACAAAAATCAGGCTTCCATTATGGGTGCTGAGCACTTCAAAGTTCAGCCCTAAACTCTGATCTCAAATGGTCAAAGCCTGCAAATCCTTCCTTGTGCGAATACCACATGTGAAATGGACTCAGTTGCCCTAATCACACGTCGACATGTATAAGTTGTTGGGGAACAACATGGCTCCAGATCCACTACCCTACTAAATGAGAATGAACCGTGGGCTTTTCAAAGATACATATACTCCACATATATACGTCCTAAGTATTGGGATACTGTCTGAAATATTTACACTTAAAATCAACGTTGGCTCTTAATTTGATCAATACAAACCTTCACTAAATTTTAATTCATGATTACATAAATTTCACTCAGCCTCCACACATCTCTGGGCTATGAATGCTATGAGACTGTTGCAGCTTCTGTTCAATGCATAGTCTGATATAGAAACATTTGAGACTTGAAAAGCACTGGAAAATGTTTCTTTTGTGATATATCAGAAGTGCTATGGAAGACAAGCATCCCAGGAAGTTGCTTCCCCTTTCACCTTCATCCCAAATAGCATCAATTTTGATTATGCTAAATTCCTCCTCCTATGTATGTTTCTCAGAAGCAATTTTGTTTTGCTTCTCAGCTACAAAAGATGAACACCCTATTGTGCTATCCATTCGATTAGGCAATACCAAGAAAAAAAAGTTATGACTGAAGCAATTTGCAAATCTCATAGTAACGGTTTTACATATTGCTGTGGACGCTTTTGTATGTTTGTTAATGAAGTAATTGTAGTGTTTATTAAATCACGTACATGGTAAGTTAACCCAAAGAAATCAATCACTGAGAGGAAAGCTCAGAGCATTGATTTGAGCCAAGTGAGTAATAATGCTTCAGAAACATACATCAAGCCCACGTACTGCAGCAAGACAGAAAAGGCCACTGATTTCTTATTTACAGTCTTATTTTTGGATAGTCTATCCCCAGAGAATACACATGCAAACTAAAGACATGTTTCTCCTCCCTTCAAAACATGGTTCAGACTGACTACTAAATTATTAAATAGAAGGCTACTTTAAGGAAAGGTACAGACAACATTACGTTCACAAACTGAAATACTAAAAAGCAAAATAATAATAGATTCCCCCACCACACATTACCAGTTGTAATTATTAATGACAGCTCCTCACACAACAATCATAATACACAATAACTGATGCAACATACACACAATTATCCAGTCTGAAGAACAATGTTATAGTTAGTATACCAATTGATTGTGAGCTGTTTATGTTCTGTGTTTTAGTATGGAAAAAAAACACTGAATGATATTTCTATTTCACTAAAGCTTTGGGTATCTGTTGAGAAATTGTTTTCTGTAACCTTTATAGTGCAGATCCAATTATTTTCAAGAGAAATGCTAGTATAAAAGATTCTGATAATAGCAGAATGCTACTGGGTATGTTACAAAAGGACTGAAAGGGGAGTAGGATACGATTATTTCCTTGAACTGCTGCTTCCATCAAAAAAATTTTGAATATTCAAAATATATTTGACCTTTGCTGTACATAATCATGTTTTTCATGCTGTTTCACTGTCCAGCTAAAACATAATAAGAACTGCTGCAGGTGATCCATTGACAGGCAGACATGAGACCCTAAGCAAAAGAAGAAATCGTACAAAGCTCGATGGATGACAGTAACTAAGAAATTCCCAGGGATGAACTGGATGCCTCATCTTGCAAACACCTATTACTAGGCACAGTTCTCACTAGCCTATGTAGTCCCTTGACTTAAACAATGGAAAGCACTGGCTTAGAGACTAGACCTGGTAATATTTGCAGCATCAGACACTAAGTATCTAAGTTATGCTTACGAAGTATCCATGCACAATCACATAGTTGAAAGCACAAAATACAATTAAAACAAACCCGATAGGCACAAGTTATGGGAAGGCTCTTCTGTCCCAGCCATATTTGCCTTGACTTAAAATCCAACATATAGAAAATATTAATTATGATTATTTTGATCTGACAAATGTAGTTTGGTTTCTGAATTGAGGATACCTGGGAATGTGACAGTCAATAATAAAAATGGTTTTCTAAATTTAAGGGTTCTCCCCCTGGCTCTGCTCTCTTCCTTCTGGCTTCCGATGCACACACATCCGCCCCATCTGTACCTCCTGGAGTTGATTCCCCTAGTCTGACCACCTATCCCTTATGCCCATAGCTTGCACCTAAAGACTCTTCCTACTTTTGCCTGTCTCCTCCTTTGAGCCCGCTTACTCCCTTGCACTTCCTCCGTTCTGTCTCTCTCACCTCCCCAACAGGAAAGCCCTAAAGAAGCAGTGCACTCTTCTCCTCCCTGCTCCCCTGCAACACCAGGCTGGCTAGACATAAGCAGTGGGAGAATTTCAGGCCACCCACCACTAGCCACTGCCCAACCCTCCCCAATGGGGCCAGGTTTGAGAAAGCCTCTCTTAAGAGGGGATTCAGCATCACATGACACTTTTTAGGGTAGCTGTATATTTGGATGTATTTTTCCTCCATCCAGTCATTGAAATCTTAGCACATCTGCTCATCAGGGAGCTCTACTTGCTTGCAGTTTTACCCAAATTTCATCCAGCTCACGGATCTAAATGAACTATAAAAGCTAGCGCTCAGGGACATCATGTGGATTTGTGACATTCCCTGGAGGACTGGAAGGCTATAAACAATGAATGGATTACACGCATCTATATATGTAGTTTTTCACCTGTGACAGATGTAATATTGGTAATATTCCTCATTTAATTCTTCACCACTTTCTCCAAGTGTACTATCTCCTATTCTAAACTGGAAATATTCTGCACTTTAACTTCCACAATATCTGAGGAAATCCAGGCAAATGGATTTAAAACGGGCAGGGGGACTGCAGTGAAGTGAATAGTATGTCACACTCTTCTTATGGCCACTGAGGCAATCACAGCCCTTGTGGTAGATCACAACCCCAAAAATAGAATGTAATATGCCTTTACCTTACCTAATATGCATGCCTCTTGCCACAAAATGCTGCAGCAGTAACTGCAACTTGTTTACTGTTTCTACAAATGCCGTGTCCATCCTAACACCTCTAAGTACTTTCCCCAGCATGTACAATCTAGAAAAAATACAAAATATAAACTTGCCATAGCCAAGAGTAGGTAACCCTGACTAACAAAATATATAATCAACCATCAGAAAGCTTACCTCATCTGAACATCTCAGAACCCAAGCCAACCCACCATCCAACTCCCAACACAAAACCCTGAGATGCAGCAACAAATCTGGAATCTAACAAACCAGTGGGATTAGCAAATTCCAGATTTGTGGACCACACATAATGTCCTACCACTTAGTTTTGTCCCCAATGAAAGGAAAAACATTTTAGCCTCACAAAGTCAGGAGAGGAAAGATAACTCTGTTAATCTTGAGACCAATGCTGTTTTTACACCAACAAATTGGACTCTTACACAATTATCAGTAATCCAGTATTTATTTAGGGCCTGACCCAAAGCCTATTGAAATAAGGGGCGGAGGGGGGGGGGCTCGTTTGACTACAGTGGACATCGGATAAGACTTTACTGATTATTCTTGTGTTATTTTGAGCAAATCAATTATTTTTGGAGATTTATATTCTAAATGTGAGATGTTTTATAAATTTCAATTTATTTTTCTTTTTACTATCCCAAAAGATGTTTTTCTTGTTACTTGATTTATGTTTTGTCCGCAAAGCAAAGATAGTTACAAATTTCTAATATCAATCTTACAAAATTCCTGTGCGTTTTGTCATAGGTTATGAATTAAATGTCTGTTATTCTGACATATATTAAATATGTAATTGCAGCAGTCATATATAGGATATGGTGATCATGGAAGTCACATACATAGTTGGAGGAAGAGTAGCATTTGTTTTTCGCTCACATGTTTGCTAGCTGAGCTATTGTTTACTTGCACTTTCAGAAAACGGTTTTGTATTCATGACATAATACCTCAGTCACGATGGCCCATATCCTGCAACGGACTGCACTGGCTGGCAGAGTTCTACATCCCTTTTTAATCCCATTCACTTCAACTGGGCTCCAGCTGGGTGCTGGGGTTTATTGCACAAAGTCAGTCGTGAAAGTAAAGCCGAAGACT